AAAAATTGATTATCCCTCCCAAACCTAAAAGTAAGCATGAATGTATCCCCTAAAGTACTGAATTTACCCTCAAGATCCTTTCAGATTTTGGACTACAAAATAATAGTTGACATTTGTATACTGCCTTATCACTTAGTTAATAAATTCTTTTGTCACATTAATATTCACAATGTCTATGAGATAGGGTTTCTTTATTTCCCCTGTCTTTCCAGTAAACAGTATATCTTGGTTTTGATATTTAATTTACTTATTGATAATTTTTTATTCTAGGGGAAGAAATTTGCCTTACAGTATTTTCTCATAATATGTTTTCTTTATGCAGCATGGCTGAAATTTTTCTCGCTAAGTAATTGTCCGTTTATGTAATTGATGAGGTTGGTGGTAGTGAAAACAAGCACAATTTATTCTTAGTGAGTTGGCAAGTTGTAATTGAGCTGCTGGAAAGTTTTGTGCCCCATGTGGCTGAACCACCCAGCCTGCCGGTGGGGCTGGGGAGGGAGGAACTGTCCAAGCCCCTGGGGCACAGGATCAGGCTGTGCCTGAGAAATGGGCCCCATCCGTCACTCAGGGGCCATCTCCTGCCCATACCCTGGTAGAGAACGTTGTCAGTACTGCACTTGGAAAGTTCTAGCAATCCCTCCCATCCTCCCACCCCTGCTCTTGGCACATGTATTATACATAATGATCAATTGAAGTGTTTGTGTTTTAAATCATAATTCTATTTTGCCAAAGCTCGCTTTTTATTAAATGATGCTTAATATACATAATGCCCTTCCTTTTTCTTTTTAAAAATTGCCTTATATATACACTCCCATGCTCAGGAACCTGATGGACAGATAACAGGGGAAGAATTGAGGCATGTTCTAAATAGCATGGTTGCAAAATTAAGTGATTCAGAATTCAAAGAGCTAATGCAAATGCTCGACCCTGGGGGCACTGGAATGATCAAGATCTCCATGTTTACTGACCTGCTTGATGAGAACCCAAAGGTGAGTTTTGAACAACTTCATGTTTGGTTTTCTCTTTATGGCAGGAACTTAATTATTTTCAATAAAATAAGAGATGCAGGTGAAATATGCTTTAAATAAATTAATGACCATGTTTTTCAACTGCATGAATTTTCATTTTAAGTAAGAGTTAAGTGTTTAAGAGTTGGTTGATTTTAACTTTTAGTTTCTAAATCTTATCAAAGGATGATATTTGACATTTCTGAGAAACTGTTTCTGAATGAGAGCCCTTTTATGGACAGGATGTAACGTCTTTTCATAGCATTTTGACAGCACTTCTCTTACAACAGTGTCTTAAAAGGAGTGTTTGTAAATGACTAATCTGATTCTCATTCATATTTTTAGAGTTTTGTACCCTATGTTGGTTCATCTTTTTAAAAAATAAGCATTCGTTGATTGCCTCTAGTGACTAATACTTGCCTTTAATATTTGTTTCTTTTGACTGAAAAGTTGATAATTTTATTAT